GTCTTCATCCAACAAGACAATAATGATGACATTCAACACACTACCAATACCACTAATAATTTAGATCAAACTAACGCAAAATCACACATCAAATCCCTTCCACCTATTTTTGTAAAAGGAGTCCAAGACTTTCCAGGACTTTGCACAAGTCTTATTGAGATTCTTGGCGTTGAAAACTTTATTTGCAAATCCTCTACGGATCGTCTAAAAATTCAAACAAGTACTCCGGAAGAATATAGAACGCTTATTCACTTTCTCAAGGATCAAAATGCCGAATATCATACATATAAATTGCAACAAGACAAACCCACACGTGTAGTGATCAGAAATTTACACCCATCAACTAATACCAGCCTAATCAAATCTGAATTGGAACTCCGAGAATTTGAGGTACGTAACGTTACAAATGTTCTTCATAAGGTGCACAAAATTCCATTATCACTCTTTTTCGTTGACCTGGAACCTTCCCCTCAATCAAATGAGATCTATAAACTGACCTCCATGCTCCACACTAAAATTAAAGTAGAGAAGCCCTATAAACCTAAGATAATTAGCCAGTGCTTAAATTGTTAAGAATACGGCCACACGAAATCTTACTGTAACTACTCATCACGCTGCGTGCGGTGCGGCGACTATCACCAGTCATCCGACTGCACCATTTCTCGGGACACCCCACCTAAATGTGCCCTCTGCCAAGGCAACCATCCAGCCAGCTATAGAGGATGCTCTATTTATAAAGAAATTCAACGCCGCAAGAAACCTCCACCAAACAATGCTTTTCTCTCTGGTAATTCTNGATTTAAGAAATACAATGTACAAACTAGCCACCCAGAAAATGACGCTCCCTCAAATAATGCTCGGTCATATGCGCAGGCTATGACTCTTTTTCTAGAGGAATTCAAATCTTTGATAAATCCACTTATAGCACTACTTACTAAAGTAATCTCCTTGTTACTGGATAAAAAAAATGACTAATACCGCTACAAATAAATCTCTACTTGTTTTATTATTCAATGCTAATGGGCTAAAAAATCATTTATTGGAACTTCAATCAGTACTAAATAATAGGCGCATTGATATTGCTATAACTACAGAAACGCACTGTACCTCATACTCACACGTACATATACCCGGTTATAGGCTCCTCAAAGCCAATCATCTCGACAATACAGCCCATGGTGGTGCCACAATTTTTGTTAAATATTCAATCTTGTGCTATTCAAATTTATGTTAATAATA